CTCAGAGCTGGCACACACGACGACAAGTGTTATCCATTATGGCAGACCTTGTTCCAATGTCTACCATTCAGCAGTATATACCGGGTGTTACAGAATACCGCATCAAAGCAGCTAGAAAGCACACGTTAAAGTATGGCCGAGGAGTACCCGTTGATGTTGCAAAAAGTCCAAGGATGCTCGTCGATGATTCTCAACTAGACCACTTTTTATCATTCTTAACAAGCCCCCATATCAACCTTGACATTCCGTTTGGCCAGCGGTATCTTCGACTTTCAAATGGTAAAATCTTGGAAACTCCCAACGTTATACGGTCCATGATCCTAGTGCGAAAGTCCCTTCAGGGCTTAGATTATATAACAGCTGAAGGAGGGAAAGCTATCGACGACCTCGCATCAATTGCGCAGAAACTTGTTAGCTATGGAGTGGATAGCCATTTTGTACAAAACTGCTGTGAATCTCTGAAAAAAGGCAAGCAATATCTAAAGGCAGACTACAAGGTATAAGATWAAGACTATAAATCATTCAATGTAATCATAATTACTTATCGATATATAGGATATTTGTATAAATTTCTGTTATCTCTTTTTCAGTTACATGTAGTGGACAAGTCCACCATTCCARATCATTGCAGATTTCATGCCCTTAGTGACAGAGAAAATGAAGACTTCAGCGAGAAGTGTGATCACAACCATGATGAGAGTTGCTCTTCCTGTGAAGAACTAAAGCTAGCCATGACRAGTATCAAGTCAACCATAGACAACACACAACTCAATGACGACGAGCGTGACAATATGACTTATATATACCAACAAGCTGTACAGGCAGTAGAAGCATGGAAAGCTCACCAACTAAGAACCACGCAGCAAGATAAAGCACGCGCCGACCTTATCGACCAATTGGATGACTCAACTGTCTTGATTACTCTCGACTGGGCCATGAAGTTCCTTCCTCAGAAATATCGTGAGACCCAAGCCGACTGGTTTGCTAAAAGAGGGATTTCATGGCACATCAGTGTTGTGGTTCACAAGGTTGATGGCGTTGTACAGCATTTAGCTTTTGTACATATCGCTGAAAACTGCAGTCAAGAGACTGATGATGTATTGCTGATAGTTGAACACCTACTCCAAGCTCTTAAAAAATCACATCCCGAAATTGAAAAAGCCTTTCTTCGCGCTGACAATGCTGGCTGTTATCACAGCGTTGCAATGCTGACTGTCGGTCATCTTCTACAGTCAACTGGCATTTCAGTGAAGAGAATCGATTTTAGTGATCCCCAAGGTGGTAAGGGTCCTTGTGACCGCAAAGCGGCGACCATCAAAGCTCATGTTCGCCGATACATCAACGAGGGAAATGATRTTTTGACGGGTTTGCAGTTTAMAGAAGCCATGCTCTCGTATGGTGGCGTTAAAGGCGTTAGGGYAGCGTTGGTAAATTTGCAAGGTGAACACAGCACTGTACCAGAAGGAAAAATCGATGGGGTAAGCTCCCTAAACAACTTTTCTTAYGAGAAAAAGGGTTTAGTAACATGGAAAGCATATGAGATTGGCAAAGGGAAAGAAATTCCATGGACTAGTTTAAAAGGTAATTTTCACATTTAGTCTGATAATAATCATAAATATCAATATAAATATCAATATAAAGAGCAGGAAAAGCAGACGCGCGCTGCCTATATGATTAACTGTGAGTGTCTAAATGATTCCAGAGATGGCTAAAAGCTTTGTTTATTTGTTTTTACTAGTACGTAGCTGCCTCTCAAGAAATGCCCTTTCCAGCTTTACCTTCAGTTCTGGCAAGTTTGTAGTTGCTGGCTCAACAGAAAGCAGACYGAATTCTCATCAACAACCTGATGAAGACAGAGATCAAGCGGAATCTGACAGCAAGCTATTCCACTGCCCTAAAGATGGGTGCGTCAGCGAGTTTCAGCTTCACA